GGGGGGGGGGGGGGTCACTGACAGCGCAGGTTGGCACCAAGCCCATCACGACTGATTACCCCACCAGAAAGAAAGTGCAGGGAAATCCCAAATTTTAGAGCTGTCCCCAAAACAAAATGTGGGAAGTCTTCCAATGGGGACACCTGTTTAAGAGAACTCTCCTTATTTTAACTTCCTGCTGCGTCTCTGGAACAGGAAGTGGAGGTAAATGTCCCTAATAGTACACAGACAGCACCCCAAAAATAAGGTTTTAACCCTTCCTTATTAAATCCGAAACTAAGAAAGGAATGCTTCATCCTATACATACAGTTTAAATGGAATGAATACATTGAATGGGCATGCCTTTGATCACAGACTGTCCTAGCAGCCTCATAGTCATGTCCGGTGTGTACATTTCTATGACAGGCGTCTGAACCCGGGACCGTCCCTCGGAGTCAGGGACAGCCGGGCACTGCCCCATGTCATCACAATGTAAATGACTGCAACCAGCCCAGAACAGATACCTCCTCCTTATACACACCCAGACCCCTTCATATAACATAGACTAAGCCGCCCCCCCCTCTCCGCTCCACAGAGAAATCAGCACATACATGGCTCCCGGTGTCACAGCCGATGCTTCCTCCTCGCTAACCCGGCTCCTGGTCCCGGAATCGGAAGGGCGCGGGCGGCAGGACCACACCGACACCAATTGCGCACGCGCAGAGCCACTCCCACCCATCAGACGGCCATAATACTGCTATAGTATTCTCTCTGCGCATGCTCAGGACTCTACGGGCGGCCTTGGCCTTGCCTCACGCAGGCGCCGTAGGCGTCTGGTGACATTTTGTGCGCCTGCGCAGTTATGCCCATTCCACAATGCCCATTCAAAAGACCGGTTTTGGCAGCTGACACGCGCATGCGTGAACCCAAGTGTCTGGAATCTCGCGACGGAAGCCATTTTTTTTTCGAGGGCTTCAGCTAAGGCTACATAAATATGGCTGCTGCGCGCAGACATTGTATTTTGTTTGTAGATAATAGTGATAATACTTTGTACACAAAGGTTCACATTGTATTTTAAACATTACAACAGTTTTTGTTTTGTAATTTCACACCGATCCAGAGGAGAATGTATTAAAATTGGAAGAAGACCCATAGCAACCAATCAGCTCTTTGATTTTGAAAGCTTGACTGCGCAAACTGAAAAGATAAGCTGGTTGGTTACTTTAGGCAACTGCTCCAGTTTTGATTAAGTCCCCTATGGATCTGTGTAACATTACAAGAAACTGTTGTCATGTTAAGAATACAATGTTTTTCATTTCAACATTTTTGTGTAAAGTTACACATGTTTAGTTTTTAAATGTTTAATTTCTATGTTTAATTTTAGAGCATATCTAAAGCCAAAACTGTTTTTTTAGTTTTTGATAGAGTAGAAAATATTGTTTTTTTGCTGTGTCCCATTGGGGAGATTTTCCATCACTTCCTGTCTCAAGATATAACAGGAAGTGAGAGAAGGTCCCTCCAAAATAAGGGATCACACTTCAATAGCTTATTGTACGGCTTCAGGAGCCCAGCAACGACAGCTCAGGGACCGGAAGTGATTCAATACACGTCGCTCCCGGTCCCATAGAGTGGGGAGGAAAGCGGTGAACGGATGTTTGCCATTCTCCTCCCCAGCTTCCCGCTGACACCCAAAATGCCAGTCCTGGGCCTGCAGGAAGGGCAGCGGAGCCCGGGAAACACGGGGG